GCACACTATAATTTTATGGCTTCCACTCACATCCATGTTAAAGACAATAACTTTTAAAAAAGTATTCCAAGACAGATACTAGCTATACTTAAGATCTGTATTTAGTATCATAATCCAAGGCTTTCCAATAGAGGTATTTTTGTGTTAATGTGAAGCTTAAATGAATGAATTCAGCAACATGTTATTTCAATAATTCAATAGTTAATTTGTGTGAGTAACAATGTTAACATCAGTCTCAGTAAATGACTTGTAGTTAACCCATTTCTGTTTCATTAACTGCAGTAAAATAATCTAAAAAATCAGCTTTAAATGCTTTATTGTGGATTTTTTTTTTTTTTTTTTAGGAAAGGGTTAATAAAAATATGAGGAAACCCTTTTTGGGACCCAAAAAATGATAGAGAGATGAGCAGCTACAGCAGCACAAGTAAACGACCCACGATAACCTCTCACCAACCTTACAAGTCCTGCAGCTTTAAATGTAAAGAATGTGAAAATAAGAGTGTGAAAATAAACAAAAAGCAGCGATGAGCATCTACTGCGTCTACCGGCCTGATAACGAGGGTGTGTACACATTTCAACCTGACCTGGGCAACAGGTGGAAAGGAACAAGCTGTCTACAGTTTGTGGTGTGTGGGACATTTATGAGATTTCAGTAATGGGTGTGTGTCACGTCAGTGTATGAAGAGCATAACTGTCAAATATGAAACCAGCGATTGTCTTTCCACCTCAGGATTATTAGGAATAATGACATAAGGTCAAATAAAGTTCCAGAGAATGATTCCAACAACCTGTAGGCTCTTGTCTCAAGTGCAGGGTTTAATTCACTGTAAGGCTGCTCAGATTTACTCATTAGTCAGCACATCCTGAGATGTTGTCTGCAGGTGAGCCCGAGCACGCACATTATCAGCTTTTCATTGTGTGGCTGTCACTTCTATTCATGTATCAAAATGTAGCACACAATTACTCAGTCAGTGCTACTCAAGAAAATCCAGCTGACGGATGATGCTTTNCTTGACCATTTAGAGCTTTATAAGTTAACAGTAGGATTTTAAATTCAATTCTGGATTTTACAGGGAGCCAGTGCAGAGAAGCTAAAACAGGAGAAATATGATCTTGTTTCTTAGTTCCTGTTAGTACACGTGCTGCTGCATTCTGAATTAGCTGGAGAGTTTTTAAGGACTTACTAGAGCTACCTGATAATAGAGAGTTACAGTAATCCAGCCTTGAGGTAACAAAAGCCTGGACCAATTTTTCTGCATCTTTTCGGGTCAGGATAGGCCTAATTTTCGCAATATTACGCAGATGAAAAAATGCAGTCCATGAGGTTTGTTTTAAATGAGAATTAAAAGACAAATCTTGATCAAATATTACTCCGAGGTTTCTTACAGTAGTGCTAGAGGCCAGAGCAATGCCATGTAGAGAAACTATGTCATCAGATAAAGAGTCTCTGAGTTGTTTGGGGCCAAGAACAATAACTTCACTTTTGTCTGAATTTAACATCAGGAAACTGGTCATCAAACCTGCGAATGGAATGGCTGAGAAAATGAGTGATGAGTTTTTAACCATCACAAACGGGTTCTTCTTAATTGCTTTATGTTTTCTTTGGATACTGAAGATGTTCCAAAGAAGCAGAGGGCGTAGACAAAAGCAAGACACACAGACTGCCCACTTGACACTGTAAACACACACACACACAAACACATAAACAGTCACACTTTTTTTCATGAGAAGTTTATCTAACATGCAGTCAGTTATACAATTTCCTGTGATTGACACAAGAATCTAAAAAGCATCTCGATCTGCTGTGGAACACACCCATCAGGGGAAAAAACCAAAGCAACATGTTGCACACTATAATTTTATGGCTTCCACTCACATCCATGTTAAAGACAATAACTTTTAAAAAAGTATTCCAAGACAGATACTAGCTATACTTAAGATCTGTATTTAGTATCATAATCCAAGGCTTTCCAATAGAGGTATTTTTGTTTTAATGTGAAGCTTAAATGAATGAATTCAGCAACATGTTATTTCAATAATTCAATAGTTAATTTGTGTGAGTAACAATGTTAACATCAGTCTCAGTAAATGACTTGTAGTTAACCCATTTCTGTTTCATTAACTGCAGTAAAATAATCTAAAAAATCAGCTTTAAATGCTTTATTGTGGATTTTTTTTTTTTTTTTTTTAGAAAGGGTTAATAAAAATATGAGGAAACCCTTTTTGGGACCCAAAAAATGATAGAGAGATGAGCAGCTACAGCAGCACAAGTAAACGACCCACGATAACCTCTCACCAACCTTACAAGTCCTGCAGCTTTAAATGTAAAGAATGTGAAAATAAGAGTGTGAAAATAAACAAAAAGCAGCGATGAGCATCTACTGCGTCTACCGGCCTGATAACGAGGGTGTGTACACATTTCAACCTGACCTGGGCAACAGGTGGAAAGGAACAAGCTGTCTACAGTTTGTGGTGTGTGGGACATTTATGAGATTTCAGTAATGGGTGTGTGTCACGTCAGTGTATGAAGAGCATAACTGTCAAATATGAAACCAGCGATTGTCTTTCCACCTCAGGATTATTAGGAATAATGACATAAGGTCAAATAAAGTTCCAGAGAATGATTCCAACAACCTGTAGGCTCTTGTCTCAAGTGCAGGGTTTAATTCACTGTAAGGCTGCTCAGATTTACTCATTAGTCAGCACATCCTGAGATGTTGTCTGCAGGTGAGCCCGAGCACGCACATTATCAGCTTTTCATTGTGTGGCTGTCACTTCTATTCATGTATCAAAATGTAGCACACAATTACTCAGTCAGTGCTACTCAAGAAAATCCAGCTGACGGATGATGCTTTCACTGCCTGGTAGAAAATATTCTGAGGCTGCGTTCATGTTAGTCCTGCTAAACATGGATGGATTAATGATCTGGCCTATCGGACACAGGACCAGGAGCCAAAAGTGTCAGGGTCCTCCCTGGCCTTCACTTTCAAAATGTCACCTAAATGATCAAATGCTGACCAGAAAGAGACACAAAATTACCAGAAGGAGACACAAAAAGACCACAAAGTGATGCAAAGGAACTGCAAGGACACAGAAAATAACTACAAAAGGGGCAAAACTACTGCAAAGAGAAACAAAATTACCAAAGAAGACACAAAATTACCTCAATGATACGAAAAACAACTGCAAAGAACTTAAACTACCACAAAAAGACACACAATAACTACAAAAAGAGGCAAAACAACCACAAAGAGACAAATAATGACCAAAAAAGACACAAAATTATCTCAAAGAGATACAAACAGCTACAAAGACACACAAAATAACTACAAAAGGGACAAAACGACTACAAAGGATCAAAGGATAATTACAAAAAGAGGCAAGACAACCACAGAGAGGCACAAAATTATCAAGAAAAGACACAAAATACCTTGTAAAAACACAAATCAACTACAAAGAGATACAAAACGACCAAAAAAAAGGACACAAAAACACCTCGGAGAAACAGAAAACAACTACAAAGACACACAAAATAAATACGAAACGGCATAAAATACCTCGGAGAAACACAAAACAGCTACAAAGAGACACAAAATAGATACGAAAAGACACAAAATACCTTGGAGACAAACAAAACAACTACACAAAGACACAAAACAACCAAAAAACAGACACAAAAATAACTTGGAGAAACACAAAACGCCTGCAAAGACACACAAAACGACCAAAAAAGGACACAAAAAACTACCACGGAGAAACACAAAACAACTGCAAAGAGACACAAAAAAATTGAAAAGACACAAAAATACCTCAGAGGAACACACAACAACTACAAAGAGACATAAATCTACCAAAAAAAGACACAAAAACACCTTGCAGAAACACAAAACAACCACAAAACGACCAAAAAAAAGGCACAAAAATACCTCAGAGAAACACAAAACAGCTACAAAGAGACACAAATACCTCAGAGAAACACAAAACAACTACAAAGAGACACAAAATAAATGCAAAGAGACACAAAACGACCAAAAAAGGACACAAAATACCTTGCAGAAACACAAAACAACCACTAAGAGACACAAAACAATGAAGAGATGCAAAGCAACCACAAGGAGATACAAACTGACCACAAACAATAGAGACAAGAAACCACAAAGAGGAGCATAATAACTTAAAGACGCAAAACAACAACAACAAAATAGGCAAAACCAAGACAAAGTCTGTGTGTCTTGCTTATGAGAGGTGGTGGGGCCTTTCCGTTTCTGTGCCCAGGGTCCCATTCTCTCCTGATCCGCCCATGGTTGTTAGTAACAACTTGATACACAATAACAGGGCCACTTGTAGAAAATCTATACAGTATGTAAACAGCGCTAACGTCAACCACGCTCTGTAGTATTTTTACTAAAAGGGTAGAGTGTACGTCATGTGGAAAGTCCAGGCCACATTGTGACGTGGTGAAGGCAATAATCAGCTCCAAGGGATCATTAAAGTATAAACACTTTGCTTTTTTATCAAATTAGATTCATCGTCATCAAGCTACTTTCTTCAAATGAAAACAGATGTCTAAAGCCTGTACAGTGTTGAAATGAAGGCACACAGATGTTACATGGGAATGGGAAATATAGGATTGTCCAACATGTGTCTAATGCTTAGAGAGGAGACATCTGATCAGAGGACGCCAGTTAAGAACACCAGTCTTCAGTGTCTACACAGTTACATCAGGTCCTCTGTATTGGATTTCTTATGTAAACCCATTGACTCGTTTTATTGTTATTGCGGTGCAAAAAAAGGCCTTTCCAGGTAAGTCAGAAGCTTAATAATGGATTTGTGGGTGTAGTCATCCGTCACTTCCTGTACGCACATCCTCCCAATGCATCTGTCCACCAATCAATCAGTGAACACTGTTATCTGTCTTTGATTTTGGGACATGTTGCTCACATCAAACTCGTGGTATAAAAGGAGTCAATCTGCTCAGCATGCACCAGAAGCAACACACTTGTTGGGTTTTGTTGTGCACTTACTTCATTCAGTCGTCAGAGGTAACTTCTTTCATTCATTCTTAGACTGTTTTGTCGTATGGTGATATAGTAAATCTTTTTTTTTCTTCTTGTACACAGACATGTCAGGGAAAGTTATTGTGGTGTTTGCATTGCTGGTTGCACTGCTGGTATCCTGTGCAGCTGGAGAGGCTGAAGACACTCATCTACTACAGCAGCTCCTAGCCAAGAGGGAGAAAGTGAGAGGCACAGGTGGCAGACAGGAGCCGGCGCCTCAGGCTGTCTCTGCACGAATGGAGAGACGGGCACACCTTTCAGAGGATGAACGGGAGATTATGACCAAACAAATAATGCAAGCCATCTCAGGTATGCTGTGGGTATGGGTGTGAAAGTTCCTTCTCTAACTGCTGCTCGCTTCACTTGTGACAACATTTGATAAACGAGTACGTGGGCAGAGATCCAAGAGATGCTTAGATGTGTTTACTGAACCCGTGTGTGTGTGGTTCATGTAGGAATGGTTTGTTCACAGAGATGATGAACTCTGAGTGCATGCTGGATCGGGACTACCAGGGCTGGGTGGACTTCGGACGCCGCAGCGCAGAGTGAGACACGGCGATGAGAGCTCAGCCTCGCTGCTTCTTCACATTTTATACAAAGTCAAATGTTTTACTCTCACTGCAACTTTATAAATAAAACCTTTTTGCAGAATTATCACAGTAGTCACATCTGTCATCACTGCCAGGAGGTAACAGAGAGCAAACTGTACTGGATGGAAATGCAAAGGTTTATTCACAGGTGGTATAGTTTATACACACACTGACATGTACAGCTGTGACGCTAACACAGAACAGAGCAAACAGTAGTGCAGAGAAACAGTGGTTTGGTTGATTCAAGTCAGAACACAAATCATCAGAACCTGTGTTTATGATTTTTTTCCCTTTTTAATCCACAGTATCCTATGCCTTTTTGCTACAGCTGATTGTTCAGAAAGATCAAAGAAAGATGCCGTTTAAATAATCAGGACCACTCTACTTTAAATAAGGGTTCCCCTTAACATCACGGCCGATTCACTCCGAATGCCCAAAATTATGTTGATTTCATTTACATCCCAGCAAATTTCAAAATTTCTGATGACGTGAAATGCAGCAGATTTGTACAAGCAAGAGTTTCGGTCAACACAGTTAAGTAAATATACATATTGCTTCTTCTTTGATGATGCGTGATAAACCTGATTTATTTTTGGTGAGGTCTGGCTCAGGATAAAGCTCACAAGGTCGCAGGTGACACTTTACTGTATGCAGCCATAACAACACGTGCTACGTGATTCATAAACATTTCCCAGTTCGGTCAGTGCGTCAAAATGCCTCTTGATCAATTTCTCAAGTGTTTAATTCAGTACATCTGACAATCTTATATACAACATGCTTTCCTCAGTGTAGCAGCTAATAAGCAGGAAGACTAGAGTGTGTTCTAGTGCATTTGAAAGTTCTTCAGTGTGACAGCATTAGGGCTGGGTATCAGTACTCCATACCTTTAACTAATGAAAAAATTTAAAAAAAAAAAAAAAATAATAACCCAGTACCAAGTAGTATTGAAACTTCCCCAGTCAAATGATACCTGTATTTGATCCTTTTTGTATCAGGATCTAGAAAAAATGACAATTTTTGCTTACAGCCAATTTAATGGGACGTGTGACTGTCCCACTACCACAGCAGCTACAACTCATACAGCTGTGGTGAAGTTGAGCTGCTTTAATGTGCCATGGTGGCACCAATGGTCAAAAGTATGGTTATACACGTCTGTTGCATTTTAAGCAACTGAATACTTCCGTTCACATGAGTATCGACAGAAGTAGAAATAAAAGGTATCACATAAAGTACTCGGCTGGTATCAGTATCACTTAAAGGAAACTGGTATTGATACTGGTATGTTCATTTTTAAAACGATACCCAGCCCCAGACAGCATTGGTTTGGTTTGCCGTTTCAACTAACAATAATTTACTGCACAGTCTTTTTTTCTTTCCCAAATGACAACTTTGTTATATACACATAAATGATGTTCCACTTTGGAAACAACCACACACACAAAAAAATAAGTGATGAGGTTTTTTTAAAACCAGTGGCTGGAAAAAAATGTGTAAAATGACAATCACGAAACACTGTAGAAATTTTTTATCTTTGCGGATGTTTCTTTTTTTTGTGTAAAAAGAAGCTATCTCTGCAGGTTGCAGTCAAACAGACTAGTGATCAGGTAATCAGGTGATTTCCCTGAGATGAAGATGTACATACATTCATTGAAAAGAATATTACTATACACTACCGACAACTTAAAGTATGGCTCTAGCACATTCTGTGGCTTTTGTTTTCAAGACACCAGAGCTGCGGGCCCTGAACAGCCCTGTGGGGATCACATGGCTGGGTACAAAGTCACTACGGTGAATAAGACAGGAGGAAGCGATGAACAGTCTTCATCAAACTTTTAGAGGACAACTGACTGCTTCTCTTTCCCACTGCGGTCCGTCATCCCCCAGGCTGCCACTCGGTGTAGGCCCAGACCTTGAAGCTTCTCCACCAAGTTCAAACTAAAAATGTTCCTTCTCCCCTCTTTGTCCGACGGTGAGCCTCCGCCTTTGTCTTTTGCTGTGGAGGGTGAAGGTTTTGTGCTATGGCTGTGGTGCAGGTAGTTGTGAGGATAAGGTGAGGCTGAGATGCCACGTTCTTGCAGCAGCTGCAGGAGTCCCGGTGATGAAGTGGATACGTTTGTGGTGGTGTTGGTGGTGGTCCGGCCTTGCAGGCCAAAGTGTTGCTGGTGGGATGGCGACGAAGTGCTCACGAGCTCACAGTTCCCACAAGATGGCAGGCCGAAAGAGTGAAGGCTGCAAACAGAAAAAAAAACAGTAATTAACTTTAATCTAATTTAAAAAAAAAAAAAAAAAAACAGCAGATGAGAAATCTAAGCTGTGTCTTGTTGCACGAACATGCAAGCTCATTCACAGATAATAAAAAACAATACAATGTAAAAAGTTGCAGTTAGTCCATTTCCTGTTAGTGTGTCTATCACTGCTGTAAGATGGATAAACATGATGTTAGTTTGGTGGCGGTGATGACACAGCATCTGGCGGTTTGATTAGATGAAAACCTGGAAACGGCAAGAGGCATTAAAATGTTGTGTAACATGCCAATTATATGCGAGTACAAACAAGTTCAAGCAGTGTTAGTCGGCGGTGAAAGAAGCACAGAGCATGATTTTTTCATGAAGTAGCTACGATCATTTTAATTTGGTCACAGAAAACATCTCAGTTTCTGACATTACACAAAGACTCCTTAAATTATTAACCTTGCTGTTTTTTCGATAAACAAACATGGTACTGTGCCTCCATTATTAATACTGAAATCCAGCATTCATTGTGCATCCATAACCCCTGACTCTTACTTTGCCACGAAGGCGACTTTTAGAGTTGGAGAAAGAGCCTCTGCAGACGTTTTCTGCCACTGTGCGGGTAAAGAGCAGAAGTTAAGAGGAGGAAAAGCAGCGTAGAAGACTGGAAATCTGGAACATCCACACTTATTGAATGAAAGTGATGCTGCAAAAATGAAGTTGTTAATTAATGAACATAGAATAATATTTTTTACGAGATCCTTGTTTAGAGATAACGGTATTTCAGGTACATCACAACGATACAAAATCCCCAAAACTTAAAGGGACAGTTCACTCCAAAATGGGGAAAAGACACATCTTCTCTCTTACCTGTAGAGCTGTTTATCAATCTAGACTGTTTGTGTGTGAGTTGCCGAGTGTTGGCAGTATCAGAAGTAGAGATGTCTGCCTGCTCTCCAGTATCATGGTGCTAGATGGCACTCAGCTTGTGGAGCTCAAAGCACCAAAAAACTACATTTGAAAAATTCAACAGCAATGTCTCTCTCAAGAAATCATGACCTCGTTACTCAAGATAATCCACAAACCTTGTTGTGAGCAGTTTCATGTAGGAACTATTTTCTTCAAACACTCTGCAACTCACACTGAAACAGTCTAGATTGATAAATAGCACTACAGGTGAGAGAAAAAAAATATTTTTGATTTCAAGGTCCTGTCCCTTTAACTTCAGGGCTGTGAAAATACATGAAGAAAACACAAAAAAACCCACACAGGAGCAGTCACAATTGTTCACAGTATGTATATTCTTACCTAGTGGAGAAGGAGGGGATGAGAAGGGAGGGTTGGAGGACTTGACAGGTGGTAATGGTATGAGTGGGAGAGGTCTGAGGGAGGTTGGGACCAGATGGAGAGACTGCGAGGTCATGAAGCGGGAGAAAAGGAGCATTAAACTATGCATGGAGAAAATGACGGTCAATGAAAAACTACAAGAGACACTGAAGCTGGAACTAAAGTACAACTACACAATTAATGGGGCATAAACAATGCAAAGTTGAACACTGAGGTGGAGAGAAAGCAGGGAACATTCATTTTAGAGGGGATTTAATGAACAGGAATGATGAAGCTTAGTTGAGCTGTGTAGCATGTGTAAAGTGTGTTTACATGCATCTTACCCATGCCATGTGCTCCAGAGAGCTGCGACAGGTCTGGTTCATCCTCCTCCAGGTCGTTCAGACTGTAGACGTGCTGTATGTCGACCTCAAGCTCCCTGAAGTCTTTCGTCAGGACGCCTGGACGTGGATGAAGGATGCCTCCCAGGTTTGGTTTGGCCAACTGCTGCCACTGGTGTAGAGTCACTGAGCCTGATGACAAGAGAGTCAGAGGGAACTGAGGTTGAAAAATGTTGTTGCAGCTGATGCAGTGACATGTTATTAGAAATAACAGGATTTATTTCACATCATGTGCCTCTTGAACCCAAGAAGTTAGATATTTCTTTCTTTCTAATTTGTTTGGCAGTAGGGTTGAAATGGTTTTCATCATCAGCACTGACTTTTAGCAAGACACATTCTAAGTCAGCTTTGCTCGGGTACAAAAATTAAAAATGTAATGTTCACAGTTAAATTTAAGACTTACACACACACATAGAATACTACATAGGCCAATGTATGAAAGTATAATGGAAAACCAGAAGAGATGATATGGATGATATTATCACATTTCTCCCCAAAAAGGATTAGACAGCCGCCTGTCTGGACAATCCACTGTCACAATAATCCCACTTTTAGTTTCTGAGTGTGTCACATCTCTCGACAGCTTGCAATCAGACACAAAATCATTTGTCAACTAAAGGAAATAACAAAAATCTCTAAGACTTTTGTAAACTGAATGTAGAAATTTTTAAAACCTTTTTGTTTAAATTCAGTTCAATGCTTTTTAAATCTTTTAAAGACTTGCAGGTACCATGTTATAAATAGCAGATTCTCCCAAAAGATTCTGGTCTTGATGGTTGCAAAGTCTGGTACAAAACAAATTAAAATATGTCGTGATAAAAAATGAAAAATTTTACTCTTAAGCATAGTTTTAACTGATCCAAATTGTCTCATTATTCTTCAGAAGTCAAGAGAGATGTGAGCCAAAATCACAAACCATATTATGTTGTGACGTTATTATGCATATGTTGATATGAAAATTAAATCTTGGCATATAATATTATGTTGGCTCAGTGGTTAAAGGTTCAGTGTGGAGTTTTTTCTTGCGCTAACAAGTTACATTTACATTCATTGTTTACATCCATATTTGCATGCTGTAAGTCTTCTTCATTTCTCAGGAGTGTCAACGCCACCAACTGTTGATCAGCTTCCTGCCGCTAACATCAAATGTATTTGCATATTATACACAATAGATTTGTCACGTAATCATGTAATTAAACTGTTGCCTTGCTACCCATGAAGAATGCTTTTTACTAGCGTGGCTTCACATCTGTGGTATTTAATTTGGATCACAGTCTGATGTTTAACGATCAGCGTTCATTGCCTTGTTTGGATTGTTACCAACACTCCACATAAACTGGGACAAACTCCAAAAAATCATTAAGACTCAGTCTCAACCTGAAGCTTTTACCTTCCAGAGGTTTGACGATCTGCAGGCGGTCGGGCAGGTAGGACCTGGATCCTCCTGAGGAGCCACAGGAGTGCCGTGAGCTGCCGTTGGAGTAGTTGGTGCCCGTCGATGCTGCTGGACTCGAGACCAGGCTGTCATTTGGTGTCAGAAAGCCACTGGAGCCCTCGCCCTCCTCGCAGTTTGCTGCCAAGGCATTGAGTTTACGCTCACGCTCCACATCAAAGAAAGGCCGCTCAGAGGAATGGTTCTGCTGGCGGGCTGACAGGCTGCGCAAGGCGGCTTCGAGGTCCTGGCCTCCTGGTGTGCCTGGCTGGCCCAGACGCTTAGGTCCACTAACACTGTGGTGAATAGATGTGACAATGTTTTAGCTGCTTTAATCCTGACGACCTTTAAGCGGATAAGTCAGTATCAACTCTTGCTGTGAAAGCATTTTAATGTAGTCAGGAAGGTTTTTAAAATTACCAAATATGCGTATAAAATGATCAAAAATATATCTGTAATTTTGCATGACCTCATACTCAAACACACCTGTTGTCCTCTTTGTGAGAATTACTGGAGCTGGGCTTATCCTCTAGTGTAAGGCTGGCATTGTCAGACCCATAGTAGCTGGTTCGAGGGGTGCTGGTGCAACTGGAGCGAGTGGACGGCGGGCTGGAGCCTGGCAGCCCTGGGGAGTGGCACCGAGAACGCAGCCTCACAGTTTTGTTCACCACCTTCACTGTTTCAAACACACGCCACGGATGGTTCCTGTCAGGAGAAGAGAAGGGCGTGAGTGGCCAAAAAAGATTACACACAATCTATATCATTCATCTCAGTAGCAGAACATACAACCCATAATGCAATCACTGCATTTTTTTAAACCGCAGCTGGCAAACTGTATGAATTATTATGATGGTAGAAGCAGAGAAGTGCTGTGTATATCCAGTTTATCATTGAGACACAAGCAGGGCAGCATGTCAGAGGCTAGGAAACAGTTGTAGTTAAATGTACAGGACCACTCTGAGTAAGTTACTTAGACGGCTAAAGGATAGGTATGAGGTTTGCCATCACCAGCTTTTATTCCCTTGTGTTTTAAAGTTGCTGCTTTCCATCATGCAACTCCAGACTTTTCAAATCTCTCCATATCCATATGTTTTGTTTAGTATGCAATATTCTTTACCTTGTAAGCTAGTGGTAATGGAGGAGGGATGCTCTTTGTTGTCTATGTAGGGGTATCATACCCATTCTGTTTTAAGGGAACACATCCTCAAACTGAATGAGCATAGCGGTTTAAAGTATAACCAACATTAGGGTTAGATTGAGTCCATTAGTTAAAGTCCACATGTCCACCTGCCCTGATTTATTTCAACATACTCCCATTCCTTGAGTGATTTTGAATAATGGACAGTGTGAGAAATCTGTGATTTTTTTAAATCATTGGAGCCCAACGTCAGTTGTGCACTTGTGGAAAAAAACAGATGTGTTTAGTATCTACTTTGTTCTATTCTAGTTGTTAAAAAACATTAAATAACACTGGGTGGTTTGCATCATCTTTGAAAACTTATTTTTTTCTTATTTCGTTTGGAAAGTAATATCCTTGGGAATCAAAATAATAAGCTGTACTGCACCAGGACTGTGTGGGTTTGGTTTGATCCGATTTGACTGATAGTTCCCTGGCACTATAAACAAGCAACCCCAAAACTTTAATCATGTCTTAAAAGAAAAAAAAAAAGTTTTCATTTAAATTTTGCTAAATCCAGATTGTTGGATGGAAATACCGTGACAGAGCAGAGACAAAAACATAAATGCAGACCTCTAATATGAAACACCCAAAAGCATGTTAGCTAATTATAAGAAGTGATTAGGAAAATAGGTCTTCAGGGCCTTTAAGACTTCTCACTAACTATCAACAAAATAAAGTGCATTAAAGTGATCCAAAAATCTTAATTCCAACTGCTGTTTCTAAAGACAAGACTCAAATTTGAACCTCAATTTTAGAATTAACTCGTCCTCAGCATTTAAACAAACACAAACAACAACACCCACTTTGACTCAGAGCCTGGACCAACAGTGTATTTTAAATGAAAACAAATTTATGCTACAGTCATCTAGTTACCCAGCTGCTTCCTTACACAGTATCCTACAATATCTTTGTTTAGTAGACATGGGGAGCAAACAGACGAGAAAAAACAAGGTAAGATTTTCTTAAATATGTAGATAGAACTCAGCGAACTCAGCTCAATAAATAAATAACCACATTGTAAAACCATTAAGATACAAATACAATAGACTTGAAGCTAAATTGTCGTTTAAATGAAAAGTAGCTCTTTATGACTACAGTTTTGTTTGACAACAGATGTAAAAGGCTACAACACATTTACTGTGTGATTGTGATTTCACCCCTAACGTTACTTGTGTATTTCTGTCTTTAAGAGGAAGCAGTGTGGTATTGCTGCTAAACAACACAAGCCAAGTGCATGCAGGCCAGCTGAGAACACAGGAGCGCTTGCACTTCAACAAAGCACTGAATCAGCTAATGAAACCATCCAGAAGCTGTCCTCAATAAACACCAAACTAAAGAGGCAGGTTCAGGAACTCCAGCACATGGAGAACCAATGGGCGGTGGAAAAGAGTCAACTCCTGCATAGAAACAAAACTACACAGAGGATACTGGAGCGGAAGTACTTCAAGGCTCTTGATGAGATCAACAGGTTGGAGGAGGTTTTGAAGAACACAGAAATCAACAAAGCTTTCCATTACAAAGAGAATGAAACAGGGGAACCAGTGAAGACACAAATATCTATGGAGCTTATAGACATGCATGAGAGGAGCCAGGAGCAGGAAGTTGTGATAATGAAAAAGGAAAAGCTGGTTGGAAGGTTCCTGCTGGCGACGAGTAGAGCATTTACAAAAAGAAGATGTACATCCATAGAGCGAGAGACAGCCGAAAATCCAACAGGAGGCCCTGGAGGTCAGGATCAAGAAGGAGCAGAGGACCGAGAGGAGGTATGTTTGTTTCATTTTAACTTACACTGATTATTTAGCTCACTAGATTCTAACTCATCCTTTAAAAGACAAATTTAAATTTACTGTGATGTATCTTCTTTTTTCAGGAGCTTGTTTTGAGGAAAAAGCTTCCCTGCTTCCTCTCCTTCATCTCGTCTCAGGTAGATCAATGATTAGCACTGCAGCCTCAGAGGAAATAAAATGTACTAGTTTATTATTGAGTTGTTTATATGTTCATTGTTTGACCAGTCACAAGATATTTACTTAAAGTATGGAATTATTAGCAGCAACATTTATACCTAAAATATCAACACTAAAAGCCATCCTGCAGAAGAATTGCTCCTGTGAGTGATATTATAGATGGCATTATAGTGATGCATCAATGTAGCAGCATTTTACTGCTGAAGCTGGATGAGGTGGCACTGTTTTATCTGCTTTATAAGGTAGTTTAGTCCAGTGGTTCACAAACTAGGGGTGGTGTCCCCTCCAAAGTGTGACTATATATGTCTAACGGAGTTGTGAGATGATTAATGGGGAAGGACAAAAACAGAAGAAAAGAAAAACTAAGTTCTACTACATAAATTAGTTTTGTTTTGGGCGGCGTTTCTCCCTGTTTTTGTATAAATAGCAGATCATTTTTCCTCTTTGGGCCTGAAACAGTTTGTCAGCTTAAACAATCTGAGAAGTTTAGAGGAGAAATGTCTCTAATAACTCACTGACATCGAAGAACACAACATTTCTTCAAGGGGTTTCTGTATTTGCTGAAGAGGTTAGCAACAGCTGGTTTAATCTCTAATAGCAAGAAGTTTTTAAAAGCTTGTGTTTTTATGTAAATCACAATATTTAAAGTAACTAATAACTACAGCTGTCAGATGAATGTAATGGAGTAAAATGTACCGCTGAAATTTAGTGAAACAAAAAGTATGAAGTCGCATGAATCGGAAATACTCAAGTACAATGTCTAGGCACTTGTACTTAACCTAAATAAATGTAAAGTAAATTTAGTTAGCTGCTAACTATCACGGTGTGTGTCCCACTTGGTGTATTTTACTGATGTAAAGATAGTAAACATAGCATCTTAAAATAATCTGTTATATCGTCTGTAAATGTCACACTTCAATATGAGGCAGTGGTATATTCTTAAGTATTTGTATCAACCTTTGAAAAGCCAAAAATCCGAACCTAAACACACCATGATTCAAGCAGTAAAGAAAGTCAGTCTGTTGCCTCCCCACATGTCCTGTATACTGTTATGAAAGACATTTTATATTCAGCCTCAGCTGTCTATCATATAATCTCAAAGTAAATGGTTTGGGTTAAGGTTTGGATCAACCCTGAGACTGTTAGAGTAATAGTAGCAGTTTAGTACTGCGTCCTATCAGAGAATAGCAACTGTAGTCACCTTGGATTTCCACCAGTTACAACAGATTCCAACATTGAGAAGTGTCATGGTGGAGAAAAAAAAGACAGCCACAGAAAATACCTAAAGCCAGTCCTGCAGCATATCTCACTTTCTGCTGCCCATCTGTGTACTCAGACAAACATGTATTTTCACTGAAACATGGCAAGATAGAAAGCTGCCTGCTCAGTCCTCCTGCATCATGATGTCACGTACCTCGAGTGAAACACACAGGGGGTTTAACACTCCAAAGACAGACTGTGAGTTGGGTTTTTATTGTATACAAACAAGACCAGGCAGGGCATTTAAGCAGCAAGCAAGTCTTGATGACTCTCATTAAGTAAATATCCTGAGTTTTATCAGGATAGAAATTGAATGTTTAGGGAGAAGTGTAAGAAAAGCCTTCCACACACACACAAAATCAGACTCACTTGTACTCTGAGGGTGCCGGGGTGTCCAGGCCTTTGCGGAAAGTGCCCTCTATCTCAGCTGCCAATGAATCCATGGGGAGGACAGAGGCAAGTGCAGTGTAACGCTGCACCGTGCTGTTGGGTAGGCTCTTATTCCGCAGGTTCTTAATGTCCTCTCGGGCCTCGCGGAGCATGTCCTCACACTGCGAGTACTTGTCCCGCAGGTCTTTGAGCTGCAGACAGGGGGAGACATATCTGTCAAACTGTAGTACAGGAATAGCCTGGTTCCAGACCATAGACCCTGCCCACTCAACTGAGTAGGCTTGCATTACTGGTCTGGCATACTTCAGTGAATTTGCGATTTATCTCGTCCAAACGCTGGACGGACCAATGAACGCCGGGGGTGGGGGCAGCTCTAGCGATTAGCCAATCAGCGCCACGCTGATGTCTAGCTGTACGCCAGTGGGTAACTGGTGAGGATAGCAACAATGGCGACCGCTACAGATCCTACAGACCACATTGACGACGCTATCGAGGTATTTCGCCACTACTCGCGTTAATGGAGGACCAAATTAAGGAAGCTGCTAAACTGGATTTAACGGCGATGCAGCTGGGCGTGCATGACGACAGAGACATTTTAAACGGGCAATGCTCGCTTGTTTTCGGCACCCCCGAGGCATGGATACTAATGACATCAGATTCTGGGTGAGTCGTTGATTTCTACTGATTGGTTAGGGAAAAAATCAAATTCCCTCCCCCTTGTAAATCGCCTTCAGTGGAAGCCATGTCAGACTGAAGGTTCTGGGAGCTTCAGTCTGACACTCAGGCTAGTACAGGAAGAAAACACTGACCATTCACAACGTCAGGGCTGAGTATTGACATATTATGGCTAAAGTACGCTTCTGCAAGGATACACAAAGATAACATGTCTGTGTGGGGAGGCAGAGAAGGGCTTTCTGGGTAACCATGTGAAGGCTCGCAGAGTAGCTGATTTTCAGATTAACAAGATCTTAACTACACATCCTCTGGATCTGCACTACTGTGAGACACAAAGACCTAATGAAACTCACAGACTATGTTTCTATAGTGTGATCTTAGAAAATCAAAAATGCAACCTCCATAAACAGCACCTCAGTGCACAGGGAAATATTGGTGGAGGTCTAAAAACAGTCCACTGTATCTCTGCCCCTTTCTAACAAACCTAAGTCATTGCTTTTCTCCAAGCCTCTGGGAGATTGACAAGAGCTCTGGACGTCTGACTAAGCACTGACAATGCTACCATCAGCCAGTAGCATGTACGTTTGGCTGATATCCCACATGTAAAGGCATATAATTCTAAAGTTGAACTTAGGGTGCTGTATCTAATTAGTTTCTGGACAGTAGTTTGTTAAATGCCCATAATAACAATAAATGAAAGGATGCTGGCGACACCAGCGCATGTTTGAAGATACAGCAGCATGTTCTAGGTGTCAACACTCTAATTGTTTCTTAAAGGAACACAAAACCGAGCTCAAGCAAGAATGTGTCAGGATCCTATTCCAACTCTTAATTGACTATATTCAGTCAAAGTGTCTTGCCTCTGATCGAAGATTTAACTGGCTTTCACGTGAGGCACTCAGGTGTTGGTTCAGCTCCTCATTCTCATGGGTCAGCTAGAGGGACACAGAAAAGAAGGTTAGCAGAGTTTAGCTGTGAAGTCTAACAGTGTGTGTGCATGCGTGTGTGTGTGTGTGTGTGTGTGTGTGTGTGTGTGTGTAACTCACCACTTTGCAACGGGCCTGCAGGTCAACAATCTGAGCCAGCAGTGAGCTGATCTCCTCCTGTTGTCGCAGACAGTCCTCGACTTTCCGTGCAAGCTCCTCTGACAGGTCGACTACCTGCTTATTGACAGATGCTGAAACACACAAGTAACAGTATGTTAATTCCCCCAGTCACTGATCATCTATGCAAAATTTTCAGTTTGAAAAACAAAACTGCAACACTTACAGAGTTCCTCCACACACACCATCATCAGCTCCTGTTCTTGCTCCTCATAGTTGGTGGTTTCTGTTGTGAGCTCATTGGCCTGCAGAAATAATGCCAATGTCAAAATGTCACACGTTTAAGACCATAGTCAATGAAGAATGACATATTTTATCAAACTGAACAACACTATTACATCTCTGATCTGTGCCATTATAAGGTACTACATTACTTTAATGTGTGTTAACAACAGCACACCTGATTCAATCCTAATGCTAACACACATAAAAAAGCCAAGAGAAAAAGTAGGTGTTACTCTCCCAAATATCAAAAGCTAGAATTTATACATTACTTGCCATAAAAATGATGATGAAAATTTTAAGTGTTCTATTTTATGTTATGAATGAGCAACTTTAATTTCATTCTGAGTGAGAACTTTGCAGTGGTGCGTACCTCTAATCGCAGTTTGCGGTTCTCGTCCTCCAAACCCTTCAGTTTCTGCTGCAGGAAGTCATAGTGGACAAAGTTGCTGAGAGAGCTGCACGATGCGTTCCTTTTTATTCTACGACAAGAAAAGAAACATTTGACTCTATTAGACATCTTTCCACTTCTCTCAGCAAGAGGAAAAAAGTGACCTGCAGCTTGTACCTAAGCAGAACCAGACAGTTATTGACAGCAGATACCTGAACAAACACACTTATTTCAACCAGTGTGTGGGAATAAATGTCCTTAAAATAATGAAATAAGCTGCGGCAATGAAAAGAAATGAAAAGACAACAGTACAGTAATGAATAGTGATGATGATTAACTGATTAACCTGCTGATGGGAAAGAGTTAAGCAGAAAGTTTAGCTGAGAACTTTGAGAGGATCAGAGGAGCCGTTCTGACGTATGTTTACGTACACACAGACTCAGCGCACTGATGATCACAAACATTTAGAGACCTAGTTAGATCACTTAATAACTATAGCAAGAAGGTTGATTTTTAAAATATTTTATGATTGTATTTGTTACATTGCAGCAGAAATTATTTGTTTCTGTTCATTTTAAATTAGCAGAACAAAGATAAAGTAGCAGAGTACACCTTGTATGTTGTTTCAACCCAGCAAGCACTGAGTGACATATCAAAAAGGTCTTATTTTGTTATTGAATGGTTAAAGGTTAATCTGTCTGTTTTTAAAGGGAAATAAGATTGTAGTTTGTCATTGAACAGAGATTAGTTGCATAAATCAAAGTAATTCTCATTCTTCTGAAGGACACACAACAAACTACAACTACATGTTCTCATGAAGCTAAATATCTCAAGTGGCATCACTTCACAACCTCCATGTAGTGTTTGTGTATGTGTGTAAACTCACGGCGAGTGTGATTCAGCGTTCTCGATCTCCTCGGTGCTCGCATAGAACTGAAGGAGGTCGTCTCGCATCGACAGCTCATGGCGAAGCTGAGCAATCTAGAAAATATAGTGAGCTGATGTGACTTGAGCTCTGCAGACCGTGTAAGAGACCAGACCGATAACATCACAGATCATATATTTCAGTGTGAATCATGAGGTGTGTTCATACCTCTTCCTTTGCAATTTCAAGCTGTTCGTCCAGCATTTCATTGCGTGCGGTTATTTCTTGGTTCTGCTTCAGGAGGGACTGACCGATCCGCGCTGCTAACTCGAGATCCCGCTCTTTCTACAAAGTGATATATGAATGATATAATGCATTTATTTTATTGAGTGGTAGATTACAATTTGCCAAAACTAGGCAGTTACACAATCACCGTTTGAGTGAGGCAATCACATCTGCAGGTATGTTTTTTTTTTACAGATTTAATTTACTTTCTTTACAATCACAATTACAGAAACCAGAGTGCTAAAAAAGGGTGACAGACAGTGATGGTCAGTGAGGCAGATAATTTTAATCCACCATAATCCCATCTCATCTGCTGTGTGTCCCTCTCTTACCTCCTCTAGCAGGTGGGTGACTGCCTTGATGTCATGATACGTCTTGGTGACCTGGCCCACTCTGTCTGAGCACAGCACTGCGGGAGGAGGGAGAGAGGGATTTAATGAATGGAGGAAGAAGCAGAGCTGTGCACGGCACACTAAGGATACTGTAACAACAACACCTTGCTGTTTATCATAAGACAGGAGTTATGAGCCATAACAACTAGCCAATGAGGGAGCTTTCTTCCTCTAATTCTTCCTCTATTTCTATTTTTCAACCAGCTATTGAACAAGCCAGCAATACTACAATAGAAAATACGACGTTAGAAAAGCACAGTTTTCACTTATTGAGAGACAGATGTTTGATTTGTTTAATATCAGTTTGCCAAGAATTAACTTGCCGATCAGACATGTCCTGAACTGTAAAGTCTTATTCCCTGTGATTTTTTATGAAAAAGTTCCTGGTTTTCTGTTGCATGTCTGATACACTGCTCTGATGAAAATGGATTATAGATTATAAATATTTAAAAATGGATTATTATCCATAGATTACATAATCATGCAAACACATGAAAAAAATACTCTTGGTTACATTTTTACTCTTTCATATTAACCTGTAAATACACCAACATTACACTCAGACAGAAAACAATATTCCCTGTATGAATGAGGCCTGAGTGGATGTTGGTTCTCCTTTAAGTTTCCACAGCTACCGACATGCTGTGGTCCATGTAGCCAGCCACATACTGATCCTCTTAGCTTGATCCCTTTCAGCCCAGATAAGACACCAATAAGGACCTCGTTCTCCTGGACACCAATATAGCTCATCAGGAGAGGCTGCCAGGGCTAAACTGACAAAGTGTTCACACCAGCAGGACATGTACAGCATGGAAGGGATAACGGCAACTGGCTCATGACCTGCAACTTTGTTTACATCCTGGACAATGCTTTGTTTATGTCCACTTCAAAGTCAATAAGGGTGAAGCAGTGTGGAGGGTCATAAAGTCATTTTCTCAGGTCAGACAGATCTAGTACTGACGTAGCTCTTATTTGAAGCCAATGTACTGTACGTAAAGGACTTTGGTTTTAAACAACAACCATGAACTACAACACTATGTTTTGATTTTGTGTTACTTTTGTAACACTATCTGCAATCATAGGTGTCATGCTTTCTGAGCGGACTTAAGATGTATACTGCCTTTTACCATCTTTACCATCATGGCAAGGCATTTATATGGCACATTTCGGCACCCGAGCAATTCAAAAAGCTTTACATCAAAAATCAAGAGCGTCAAGACAAAATGCAAAAGAAATATATCATAAAAGGATATTTACAGACAATTAAAAATGCCATTAAAGAGCTAGAGAACAGAAAATAAATAATAAAAACAAGACTAAGACAGGTGTAAAATACAACAATTAAAGTTAAAGTGCAGTGTAAGTAATAAATAAACATTTGATTTCAAGTATGTACAAAATTTGCCTGGACTTGCGTTCAATTCTGAATGACAGTGCATGCCTCTGAACCAAAAAGTGTTGTGTAATCTTACTTTGGTACAGGGCTTAACTGGACTAAAGAGATGGGAAGTTGCCAGACAGCAAAGCAATTAGATCGAGGTCTTTAAATTTGGCCTGGAAACATAGTGATTGGATAGCTGTATCAGTGTCTAATCATCCTAATGGAAAGAACCTAACCTTGGGCTGAACTGCTGCACTGCACAGTATACTGTAGCTGACCATGAATTATATAACATAAATCATGTCTACAGTAGTCTGAGGTGATTTACTGTAAAGATGAGGTCATGTTTCCAGCTCCATTATGTAGATTAAAGTGTAATGCAAAACCAAAAAGTGTGAGAATCAAAGAGTTTTCCACCAATCACAAATAACTACAATAAGCATCATGAGTCAAAGTCACTCCTGCAACAGTAGAATCTGGGATGGCAAGATGGCAGAAGTGACATATGATGTTGGAAACTCTCTTAATTTAATTTAATGTATTTGAACACTGAATCTCATGGAGAAGGACAAATCTTGCACCACTGGACAAGCCTGCCTCCCAAATGCAGGTCATGGATACTGTCCTTCTAATTTGTTAAATTATTTCATATATTAAAAATTTCTGGAATTCTAAATGCTCATTTTTAAGACAATATGGATGAAAAGTCCTAAAAGAATAATAACAAAAAAATTGGACATTTAACATTAACAATTCCAAAACAAACAGACAAACTCCACGTGCTGACATAGGTCCTGTTATATGATCGTAAACTCCACAACAGCTATTAAATTAATCCAAAGGTACAATGATTTTACTGTTTCCAAGACCAAGAATTAACTTCGAAACTTGACCTTAAATTCAATTTGTGACATTACATTGCTTAAAGCCTATATTAAGCACGGGTGGCTGTAGCGGCAGTCAACTAATAAAGGTCAGTGGTTCGATCCCTGGCCCCTGCAGTCTACATGTCAAAGTGTGCATGAATGATTATCTGATGAGTAAGTCACACCTTGCATGGTAGCCTCAGCCACCAGTGTATGATCGTGTGTGTGGATGGGGTGAATGGTGCCTGCAGTGTAAAGCCTTTTGAGAGGTCTACTACAGCCTTAACTACATCCATGTATGAGTCTTCTTGCGCTCAACATGGCTGATTGTGTAATTACCAAAATACATTCTAGAAATTAACAAAGGGTTAATCAGATAATAGCTCAAATTCCTTAAATCCTATTGTGCTTAAAGTGGATTGCAGCACTTGTGCTAAAAGCTGTTTATTAAATGCACTTGAATGAATGCACCCTTTAGCAAGCACCTGAACTGCCCATCCACAAAGTCTCACCAGCCAAAATACCTGCTCTATTTCCTCCTGACCTGACTGCCAGAGAGTATCAAGCAGATCAGGGAACATTTGCCAGCTAGAGGTTTTAAGGTTTGGGCTGAGCTAAATCCAGATAGCCCTGAACTGCTAGTCTAATACTGTACCTACGGATGAACCTTGCTGACTTAGGTGTACTTATGACGTCTGTGATGTTGTGGGGATCAGACAGGCATGGATGAGTCCAAGAAAAAGATTCACATTGATCCCCTACTGATCTCTACTGTTATGGAGGTGCAGACTTGACAAGATTGGCAGGAGCTAAAATATATCTCATAGAGCTTCCTAGTGCTAATCTGTCTGGAAAGTTAATACTCATAAGTATATACACATTTTATGATGGTAACATCAATTTTGCCATAAAGAATTAGGAGGTGTTATGAATAACATTATCATTGCCAGATCCATTGTTAATACATTAAAAATTACAGCTAGATTTCTGCCTAAAGATGTCAAAATAGACACTTGAACACAATACACAGGATACGCAACAACGTGTACACACGCACTGAAAATATATCCAATTTATTTATCCTATTGTATAACAGAGAAGCCAGGAATTGGTTTTGTTTGAGCGTCCTTTTTCTGGAGTGGTGCCCGTGTCGCAGTATTCGTGCGGGTGCCAGCCACATGCCCATGTAGACAAAGAACGCCTGATACAAATGAGAAATAGAGACTCCCTGCTCACATTACCTGCTCTGTTAAAGTAGAACATCAGTGCATGCACCTTTTTAATCTTAGATGTACAACCATGTAGAACATATACATCAATTTGAAAAATACTGTAACAAGATTGAATTGTGCCAATACAAACTCGTCTTTGCTATAGGCCAACACCCTGAAATGATCTTATTTATGGCACATATTATTTGATATGCATCAGAAGTCTGACACTGCATCAGAGGAAAAGCCAAAACAACTGACAATACTGGACTGAAACTAGGGCAGCAGCATAGTTAATGTTTCTGCACTCTTTGTTCTGCTGAACCACAGGCCACAAAGTAACGGCTTTGGGAACATTCAACACGCAGTCATTTGTTTGGAACATCATTCAGGTCATTCCCTCAATCTCATTTGACTAATTTAATTCTCTGTTTCCAAAAGTCCCTCTGAAATTCAAACCATGTTAAAGAAGAGGAAAAACAAAAAAGGAAACTGAAGCACTGAAATACTATTCCCAAATTTTAGCGCTCTAACCTCAATATAGTAACAGCAGAAGTACAGGAGTAAACCCACATTCGCAATGCTGCCAGTGATGACTGCTGACATGTACACAGGACTTGATTGTGCTGCTGCAGCGTGCACACACACACACACGGGCTCAGTGACCTTCACCACACCAACAGGAAACTGGATATATTTACAAAACTTTACATGTCTCGGGGCACTTTGATGTTGAACTAAAGGCATCTCTTGAAAAGAGCTGCAATAACAAGCATTTTGTTTGAATGGATGAATAATCATCATTTGCTTACTGCACCTTCAATGACATCACTGCTCCCTGCAGTACATGCTGAGCACTATTAAGTATTAAAGCACTTAGATAACACAGAATGCAACGTACAACAAAACACACCAGACAGCAGTGTCTGACTCACAGGGCAGAATAATCATTAACCTTGACACTTTATACTTAGTGATTTACATATAATTTTTCTTAACTCTCTTTTCTAAGCATTGGCTCTGCAGATCACTGACCAGTCTCCTGTGCATGCCACCTGCCTTTTCCTATCCTCTGCCTCATCACGCACTGCCTTAACTCACCTTGTGTCACCTCTCGGCAAAGGCTCTCCTTGTTGTTGTTGTTATTATTATTATTGTTATTGCTGTTGAGGCATTTCATCTCCTCCTCCACTACTTCATCCACAAAACTGGCAGTGCTCTTGTCTTCCTCCTCCTCAGATGCAGAGGAGCTCCATACCTCCATGGTAACTGGAGAAAAACTGCCCTCTGTCTCCCCGTCCATCAGATAAATCCCTTGTTCTTCTGAGTCTACTGTGTGTACACTGTGCTGTCATACACCAGCTGTGTCTCCGGCATCATCCTGCTGGCCCGTGTGTTTGGGGAAAAAACAATATCCACTAGCCTACGTGAGTGGGTGTGTGTCCACCTGCGTTCCTGTGTGCAAGAGAATCTGAGCTGCTTGGTGTTAATATATAATCCCTCAGACTGAAGGGACATCTGTCGTCATGCCTGCCTCCGTTCACCTGGCCACGTTGGAC